CCCCCCCCCCCCCCCCCCCCCCCCTCACACCAACCATGCAGCCGTCCCCCTTCCGCCGCCTCTTCCGCTCGCGCTCCCCGAAGAAGCGTCTAGCCCCCTCGTCCACCTCCTCCTCTCCGACCTCCGTCCACCACATGCCCGTGCGCCACACCCCGCCCATCGCGGAGCCGTCCGCGCACCCCCTCTTCCACCAGGAGGCACTTCCGCCCGACCCCGCGGCGGCACTCACCAGCCAGTACCACCGCTACCTGGCCCGCATCTCCACGCGCGCACAGCAGCTGCCGCGCCCGCTGTTGCACTCGCAGCGCTCCGTCTCCCCGCCGCCGGACCCGCTCGCCTCGCCGCCGCCGTCCCCGGACGCCCATCCGCATGCCTTCTCCCGCCTCCACCGCCGCGCCATGCGCGACATCACCCTCCCCGTACACCCGCCGCCCGCGTCGTCCAACCCCGCCGCAGACTACCACATGGACACAGATCCAGAAAACACCCCGCCTGCCCCCGCGCTTCCGCCTATGTATGTCGGCGTCGACCCAAGGTTGCACTTCTCTGGGTTCGTCAAGGCAGGCAACGGAGCTAGCGGTACTGTGTTCTTCGCAAACAGAGTCCCAGCGCCGCATCTTCCTGTCGCCTTGAAGAGGGTCTCCCCTAGCACGAAAGCGAAGAGTAAGGCTTTGGAGAATGAGATTCGAACTATGCATGTGCTGCGGCATCCTAATATTGTCCAGTGCCACGAGGCGTACTCGTATGATGGTAGTGTGTGGATTGTTATGGAGGCCATGGATGTCGGCTGTCTCACACATGTCTTGGACTTTCTGAGAGCGAAGGCCTACCTGTTGTCGGAGGATCACATTGCGTACATTCTCAGGGAGACACTGTTGGGGCTGTGGACTATGCATTCGCACAGCAGGATGCATCGCGATATCAAATCGGATAACATCCTCGTGTCGTCCGACGGTGAAATCAAACTCGCCGATTTTGAGTACACTGCCGTACTGACCGAGGACACGCCCAAGCGGAACACTGTCGTGGGGACCGCGTGGTGGATGGCGCCGGAAACCGTGCGCAACTCGTACTACGACTACGGCGCCGACGTGTGGTCGATCGGCATTCTGTCGGTGGAGTGCGCGGAGTGGGTGCCGCCGCTGTTCGGCATGGAGAGCAACAAAGCAATGGAGGTCATCCGCTCCGGCGCGACTATCCAGGGCTTCAAGCGACCAGACATGTGGAGTGTGGAGTTTGCGGATTTTGTCAGGGGCTGTCTCACCAGGGACCGCGCGTTGAGATACACAGTGCCCGACCTTTTGAGGCACCCGTTTTTGGACAAGGCGTGCACTAAGACGCAGATCGCCAATGTGTTTCGCGCAGTACGGGGGATGAACCCCATTGAATCGAATGAATAGATGAGATCGGTTTGGGTTGCCTGTCGGTGATAGTGGCTCTGAGACTGTTTTCGTCGTCTGTGAGGTGCCGTGGGACTGTAGTCGGTGGTACTGGTAGTGGTAGCAAGAGATTAACAATCGAGTCGCGGAGTTAAGAGATGTGAAATATAGGTGCAATCGACGTTTATCGAGTAATAAGAGGCGTGGGCTCCAAGACGTGTGGAGATTGTCATAAAGCAAATCTTATGACTTCACTTCGGAAGTCAAGGCAAGAACGGATCTACTTAAAGACTGGTATGTGACAAGACACGAATGGCCGACAAACCCTTTACGCAGTAAGTGTAGTGGTGGGCTACAGCAGCGACATAAAATCGGTGTGCAGGCGATAATACCAGAAGCAAAGCAAAGGATGTGTCCCAAAAAAAAAAAACAGAGTTAGCAGACCTCAGTTGTAGACTTTCCAGCTAGGATGAGGGCGACG